TGTATGACGGAGCAATTACTTCATCATCAGAAGGCCAGTGGTTGATCAGACAGGATTTGCCCTGGTGAAACATTCCTGGCTGTCCAGAATCTCCTTCCAGTTCTTGTGTCTTAGCTTAGCCCCCAGGAGAGTCTGTTCCATGATCTCTCTAGGCACAGAGGCGAGGCTGACAGGGCAGTAGTTCCCAGGGTCCTCCTTTTCATGCTTATTAAAGGTGATTGCATTGTTTCCACTTTTTCCAGTCACCCGAGACTTCATCCGACTTCCAGGACTTCCCAAATATCAAGAGAGTGACTGGGCAGCTGCATCAGCCAACTCCACCAGGACTCCTCATCAGGTCTCATAGACTAATACACATTCAAGTTCCTCAGGTGAGAGAACTTCTCCCACATCTTCTGCTGGAAACTTATGTGTGAACCTTTTAATGCCAAGGTGGTAGCATCACTGGGCTGCTACACAGCCCAGAATCAAGTCTTAGGATGGAAATGTGTGTGTAAGTGTAGCCTTATATCTCAGATTTTTATAAGAAATTGGAGCAATGTGTTTTGCAGTTCTTTTTCTGTTGCAAAAAAAAAATAAAATATTGACCTAATTTTCTTTTTATTAAACAAAAAAGTCCCCCCCAAAAGGTGATAATAAGGTAATTTCTTTCAAACGCATGATAGAATAACACAAAAAAGTACTATAATTATCTTGATTACAGTTCACTTCAGCCTGGGACTACCAAGAGCGTTACTTCCATCTTCATTCTGGCAAAAACCAGCATGTTTGTACAGTGGTAATGGAGAGAAATGCACTGGATATAAAATAAAATACAGTAGTACTGCCAAGGAAACTCCAATAACAAAGAATTATCCAGGTGACTAACAACATCAACCAGATGAAACGGTGACAAAGATTAGGTAGTTGTCTCAGAAAAAAAAATTGCAGCAAAATATAAAACTTATATAAAACTGATATTGCAGCAGGAAGATGAAGTAATTTCAGTTATTAAGAGAAAAAAATTAAGAAAAAAACAAGATGGACATTTTTTTAGACTAATACTCAGTCATTTTTCTGATAAATGGTTTAATTGTAGATATTTTGTCTTAGTCAGAAAAATCTAGAAAAAAGGGGGAAGTTAGAGAAGAAAATCACATTTATTATTGCATTTCTAAGGAGTTTTATTCCACATTTTATTTTACTATAGTAGAGAGAAGGAAATATTTCCATGGGAGATTACTGTCTGAAATTTCTTTATAGTGAGATTTTCTGTTTTCCATTGATACATCTATTTTGTCGCTCCTGTACAGAGGGTTCAGAGGTAGAAGGAAAAGCACTACCTTTTGACATTGTTCCTAGACACCAGGATTTGAAGATTATCCGTGAAGATAAACTGACCCAATAAAAATATTCTTACAGGTACTCTAAAATACTTTGCTGGGTTACAGGTGTTTGGAAACATTTTTGTTTCCAAGTTGCCTTGAAATGACATTTGCAGAGACTCCACTTCCCATTAACACAGATGTGAGAGCTACAGGGTAACTGGTCATGGTTTGAAGTCCTCAGTGAGTCTATTGGGCCAAATCTTAAGGTCTCAAAAGGATATCTGGTTTGGTTTGGTGAATAATGACCAGAGCTGGAGGGAGTGGAACAAATCAAAGGAATAAAAAGTGATATGACTTTTCTGAAGCAGGGAGACAGTATTTGAGAGTGGGGGGGTTTTTTGTATTAATTATGCTGTACTGTATTAATTATTTTGTACTGTACAAAAATAACTCTATTTATTTTCTGACCTTATGAAATCACTGCACATGTATGTATGAGACATCCATTTTCACTCATTGATCTCAGATCATGTTCTCCATCTTCAACACACAGCATTCTGCAAAGAGTGATTCTTTTTAGATCACCTTCTTGTAAGATTTCTTACTGCCCTAATTGTTTTTATGTTTCTTCATTCTCCACTGATTAAAGCAGGCTTGAGGTCATGAACTTGGGTAGAGGTGGGAGAAGCTTGTTTTAAGATGAGTTTACGTAGAGTCTGCCTTCTTTCAATATTTGTGAAATTTTTTTCACAAATAGTGATACTAGTAGGGGACTAAATTCTCTGCGAAGCTGAAATCATTTTACAAGTAATTCACATTAAACTCACCATTAATCAAGAAGTTAAATCTGTACATATTTGGCACTCATTCTCACCCTTTTGAGTTGTATTTCTTTTGAATTCTTAAAAACAATGTTATTAAACTTCTTCCTGATAAAGCAACTTACATACAAATATGCCCATGTGTTTATGGGTGCATAATTCATATTTTAAAATTTATTTGATGTACAGTTAAAGAAGTATTTATAATTCTATACCTTCATTGACATGTTAAAAATCAGTTCTGGCATTGCTTTGACCTTAACATTTCACAACAGGGAAATGAATATTGAAGACTTGATTTGTGCACCTTTATTTTACAAGCACCTAACTCTTTGGAGCACTCCTGCAGTCTTCCTTCTGAAGCAAAAAGAACTTTTAAAATGAGCAAACAGCTAAAGGGAGGAGCTGGAAGGGAAAAAAGAGTCTAACTCATAACACAGTTTGTGAGTAATCACAAATACAAGAGAGACTGTTCCAAGTGGAGTATCTAATACTGAATCAAAATGGTACCTTTAAAGGGTATTCCACAAAAAAAGGAAGAAAGGAAGCTTGATCTGCTTTTCTTTAGAGTTTCTGCAACAGTGAAGATGACGCATGAAGTCAGGAAAGTCTAACTACCACAGGAACATGGAGCAAAATTCTCAGTGTGTATTGTCTTCATTAGACTCAGGAAGAATTTCTGGCACCCTCCACAAAGAAACAGCTTCTTCTAATAAAAGCAGTTGATAGAGCAGTTTGAAAAAAATTCCGCCATTGTGACAAGTAATGTTTTTATGAATTAACCTTGAGTTTTTTTACCAGTTAAATATTTTCTCTTCTTTCAGCTAAAAGAAAATAAAAAGCAAACCAAAATGTGTCCTTTGGAAATGTCAAAAATATATATCATAATTATGGACTGTTAGATAAGGAAAAGGTAGAAGATACAAAGATAAACCAGGAATAGCAGTGACTGGAGCACTAATCCTCATTACTATGAGGATTAAAAAAACAGGAAATCATTTAATCTTAACCATCTCCAGTGACTTCTTCATCAATAAAATCCTGTCTGTATTAATTTCATATTTTATTGGTTTAGATTTTTCCCATTTTCCAAAGAGAAAAATACTAAATATGCATAAATGTGGTTTTGATTCATCTTGACAATCATACCCTCACATCTTCCACTTACATTTCCCAAGTTCTACCATGACACAGCTGAAGATTCACAATTTGTAAAGGCAGGACCTACACAAGATTGATGTTATGTTGTCATCACAATCTCAGATTTCAGAATCTTGATTTCAAATCTCAGTTTCAGAATCTATGCAATTAATTTCAGCAACTTTTTGCTGAAGATAAAAGTATATGTTGGCACAGTTACCTGGACTGTGCCAGGAACTCAGGCTGAAGTTTATAAAGCAAGAATAAAGAGGAGACAGAGAGAGAAATAGGTAGGTAAACATAAAAATAAAAGAATACAGTAACTTTGTATATTTTAGGAAAAAGTTTCAGTAGTCTAGGCCTAACATTTTGTTTTGTTTTTCATTTTGGCATTCTTCTTTATGATATGGATATTCTAGTCAGAACTGCCTCTCACCAACAATATGAAGACCTGTATTGCCACCATTATTACGGGGGGGGGAGGGGGGGGAGGAAAGAAGAAGAAAATTAACCTGTATGTCTGTGTAATTCTGCTTTCAGCACCCAGTTGGGTTCTGTTTTTACTTTTTTTTTCCATATGCAACTTGATTCAAAGAAAACAAGGTTCATCCTTGGCTCCTTCACACCTCACTTCAAGAACTTAGGAGAAGCAGCAAAGATCATCTTTCCTTTGGAAAGCACAGTCTGTAAGTTTCTACTTCATTCAATTCCACACAGATTTATCTCCATAGCAAATAATCAAAATTCGTTTCTGAGATGTTTCAGACCTTAACAAGATTTGCAGCAGCTCCTCTCCTCAGCCCTTTATTTTTTCCCTCATATTCCCTATTCCTATATTTTCTGCATTCCAGAACAGTTCAGATCCTGAAGCAGTCATTTTGTAACAACCTTCACTCATGTGTGTAAAACAAGTGATTCACTACATGGAGTTTAAACTAAACCACTGTGGATTTTTCCTAAGCCTGGCATGCAAGCTAAAAATCTATATTTCTTAAAACTGGGTATTCACTTTTCCATCCATCTCCTTGTAGATGCAAGCTTGACACTGAAGGTTTTTTTTTCCTTTTTCCCCCTCTTCTTTCAGCTATGAGAATTCCTCCCTTTCAAGCTGGCTGGTCAGATCTATATTTGGCAGTGGAAAAAGAAGTATGACATGTATCATAAGCTTCAACTCAGTAGCAAAGGTTTATGCCAGAGGCAAACCTGCAGGCACAAATAAATAAATAAATTCAAGAGTCCTGAAATTATATTGCTGTGTAATGTCATAGTTGCTGTGGAAACCATCTTACAACTTTTTTAAGGTCTCAAAGAAAAGCTCTTTCTTACTGCTTTGTCTGCAGTACAATATTTTAGCTGGTTTAAACCACCAATGAATTAATTGAAAGTCTGACAGAATTGAGGTTGTTCAACTTGGAGAAGAGAAGACTCTGAGGAGACCTTAGAGCCCCTTCCAGTGCTTAAAGGGGGCTTACAATAAAGATGGGGACAGAAATTTTAGTAGGGCCTGCAGTAACAAGACAAGGGATAATGGTTTTAAACTGAAAGAGGGGAGAGTAAAACCAAATCTAAGGAAGAATTTTTTTATGATGAGAGTGGTGAGACACTGGAACAGGTTCTTCAGAGAGGTGGTGGGTGCCCCATTTCTGGAAACATTTAAGGTCAGTTTGGACAGGGCCACCTGACCTTGTTGAAAATATCCCTGCTCATAACAGGGGTTGGACTAGATGACCTTTAAATGTCCCTCCCTGACCAAACCATTTTTTATTCAATTTATGGAATATAAAGAGTCTGAAACACAACATAAAGATCCTTCACAATAGTTCTGGTTTAATGCTTTTGTTTTCAGAAAATAAAACACTTTTTCTTTCATAGTCCATGTTCAACCTTCTAGATAAAGTGATTTTGACAACAGGTGCATGTAAGTGTAGTTTTACAGCCCTCGTGTAGGTTCAGTTTTATTACATTTGTTCAGGTTCCTGATCCTTGTTAACATAAAAAGCACTGCAATTCATTCAAATGTCACTGTTCATGTAAGGTGAGTTTTCTTGAATGAGTAAATTAACAGAATTGTGCCTCATTGCTCAGCTGTGGACTGCTCTGTCATTCTTCTTTGAATAGTTTTGAGAAGACTGAAAAGCTGTTAAATTATAAAACATGGCAACTAAGTTGTATGACCACAGACAGATCTCTCTATTTTTGCATAAAGAGATAAGCTAGTATTCTAAATTAATGTGATAAATTCATAAAAATGCATATGAAAGCTGTTATATATATCCTACTACTTACATTAAAATTGTAATGTGATATATTACACATTATTTTATGGTCGTTTACTATTGAAATAAGTACAACTAGAGTGTTTTTAATGAATTCTTAGAATACCAAAATAATTGCAGTGAAATGACATGATTATAACAGCAAAAGGAGTTGCCTTAAAAGATCAGGAGCAGAAAAAACTCCAGGTAAATTTAGTAGAGATAAGATGATAGAGTAGGTCATTAATGAAGGTCCTCTGGCATGAGGGGTACGAAAAAAGCATGCGCCCGTGTCCACGGGTTCCACTATTTATGGTCTGATCTGAGAACCACCCACCCTCAGGTCTGCCCCCTGGGCACACCTCCCCAGAAACTTAGTCAAAGGTCCTAAGACCCCTTTATTCTTCATCTTCCTCTTATTCACAGCACTTACAGCCTTTGGATCTTCTCCAAGGTTTCGGGCTTGAAGGTTGCTTTGACTGTGATAGTATCTTGTTGTTCAGGTCTGGGGTGCAAATGTTCTTAAACAAGTTGTATTTGCTATAGTTCTGTCTTGAAAGGAACCTAACTAAGCCTAAAGAATTTCAAAAATTCAATATGAAATAGGGAAATAGGGTTTGGTGAGTGTTAACTACAACTATAAAACGTGACAGATTATACAGCTATATTAAAATCTACAAAAAGCTAAAAATCCTAAAAATTCGAAGGCATCAAGGAATACAGTCATTAAAATACCTCTTTCAGCTTTCTTGAAGCAACTGGAGAATATCCACACTGAATTATTTCTTCTTCTGATAGACATAACTTTATAAAAAACCAATACTCACTACAGTGAATTGGGGTTTTATTATTCCCAGTTTTGACTAATGAGGACTACTGAAAATAGGGGTGACCTACATTTAAAAACTTCAGTTTGAGATTACCGCATTGTTTTACACACTTTTATGAGGTTAAGACCTTAAAGATATTGTTTAAAGGGAATTTTGAATATTTTAATACAATCTTGCACAGCTTTTCACTGAAGTCTGAACTTATGCATTAAATTGAGACAATTAAATAAAATTTAAAAAGGATTTTAGAAAAATAATTGCTGGGTTATCCTCAGAACTTACAACTCAAATATGCAAGAATGTAAATTATCAAGATAAGCAAGATCAGAAGAAAATGTCTAAAACCAGAGCAGGTTTGGTTTATTTTGATTCTTTTTCTCCATTTTTTAGTAAGGTTTTCTCTGTGACTGTCAAATATAGAGAACATTCTCATAGAATCCTACAGATTTCAGGTATATAAATCTCTACTGAAGAGCCATATTCATGTCATGAATCTGTCATATCATAGCGTCATTTTTTTGAATAGTCTCACAGAGTTTCACCTGTGAGTGGGTAATAGGACAAAAATGGGAGTTTTAAATAAGATAATTACAAAACAGTTGTAAAACTGTTGCTTGTTGCATAAAAGTATTTCATGGTTAAATTTAAGATGATGTAGAGCTACAAAAACAATAATTTTCACCCATTTAAGTAGGACCAAATTCATCCTGCAGTTTTACTCCTCTTTCTGTATTTAGAGCATGAATATTATACTGCAGTTAGTAACTTACCTCTAAAACTAAACCTAAGGGTTTTCCTGCCTTTTTCCTGCCTTTTTTTTTTTTATTTTGCAGAAAGCAAAGTAAATGTTGATTCAGGCAGCATTTGGTCAAGGTCCTGCTTCTTTGCAGAAGTGGAACTAATTATATACCTTTCCAAAATATTATTGTCATTCTATACCACCTTACCTAATAACATTTCTGTTGCTGAGCTATTTCTGTGTTGATGACTGACAGAATGGAAAGTCAAGCATGAAATAGGGAAGCCATCCACAGCATTGGTAGGTCTCCTTGAAGTCCTTGAGCTTGTTCATATCGGTGTCTTCAAAGGTTGTTTTTAGCAGTTATGAGAGGAAAATCCCTCTTATCCCTCTTTATTCATTCAAAATTGCCCCATGTCTATAGAAATCAGGGTCCTCTGAAGCAGCTTTTAACAACAGACTAGGTCCAACTTTATTCAGCTAGCCATAGAATCGTAGAATTGTTTAAGTTGGAAATTGTCTCTAAACTCATTAAGTCCAGTCATTCTCCCAATACTGTCATGTTCACCACTAACCCATGTCCCTAGGTGCCACATTCACATGGCTTTTAAATCCATCCAGGGACAGGGATTCCACCACCTCCCTGGGCAGCTGTTCCAAGGATGGACAACTTTTTCATTGAAGAAATTTTTCATGATAACAACCTAAACTTCCCCTGTGCAACTTGAGACTGCTTCCTCTCTGTCTAATTGGTGTAGCAGGTCACTGACCATTTTCTCTTGTGTTATAAGGGCTTCATTCTGCTCTGCATCCCTGTCTTCCAGCTCAGAAGAAAAACCGGTCCTCTTATTAAAGACTGAGACAGAGAAGGCATTAAGTACCTCAGCCTTTTCCTCATCCTTGGTGACAATCCCCCCCTAGATCAAATAAAGGATGGAGACCTTCCTGAACCCTCCTTTTGTTGCTAATGTCTTTATACAAACAGTTTTTATTGTCTTTAAAGGCAATATCCAGAGTAAGTCCCTGCATTGTATTTTCAGTAGACACATGCTAAGTTGAAGTGCCCCACACGAACAGGAACCAGCAATTGTAACACTTCTACCAACTGCTTATAGAATATTTCTTGTGCTTCTCCATCCTGGCTGGGTTGTCTGTAACACATTTCCACCAGAATATCTGCCTTGCTGGCCTTTCCCCTAATCTTTACCAAAAAACACTCAACCCTACCCTCATCATCATTAAACTCCAGGTATTAAAATACTCCCTAACATTAAGAGACACCCCACCACCTCTCCTTCCTTGCCTGTCTCTTCTGAAGAGTTTATAGCCACTCACTGCAGCCAAATGTCAAAGTGTTTGTTACTCAAAGGTATTATTTGCCTCTGGACAAAGCTGAACACTTGAAAAATGTTTTCTCAAAGAACAAAATATTCACCAAATAATCATTTTTCTCTTTCCCACACCAAAACTCTGTTTATCCAGCCAGAGATACTTTGCTCATTGTCTCATTTTGCACAGAGCATTTACTTTCAGACTTTATTTTTTTTTCTTTCATTTCTTTCATTTAGCACTTTTATAGGAATAAGAAAATACCAGACAGAAACCTCTGGGAAATCTTTCAAAGTGGTGTGTGGAGACTGAGACAAGCTTCGTGCTGATAGACTTGCACACTGCTTTGAAATTGTCCTTCTACTTCTTACGTCTGCTGTGGTTTTGGCAAGGGGCATCCACCTTAGCTTTTTATTCCTTTACATCTTTAAAAAAATCCCCAAACCAAAAAAAAATCATATATTTGTTTGCATGCTTGAACAAGCCAGAGGAAAGTGTGTAGCCTCCAGAAATCCATGTCTGCCTGTATTTCCCTTGGCAATTAAAAGCACATCGTAATTCATGCTTTTAAAGTTTTTTATCTTTGCTTTCTGCAGCTTGAACTGATAGAAGCATGTACTTTTACATACAGAATGTAAAGCTTGTCACATGTAGCTCAGCCGGTATTTGGATAAACACATCCCAAGCTAAAGGTTCTCTTACTTCTTCAAAATGAACTTATTGTATGCCAGTGTGTAGGTGTGTGTGTTTGTGTGCAAGCTAATACCTACGTGTGTGATTTCAAAATTATTTCAAAATTAATATTTTGTAATGTAGATTATACACCTTCCACTATCCCAAAGTTTGCTCCAAGCACTATCCAATCTGGCTTTGGACATTTCCAGGGATGGGGCAGCCACGGCTTCTCCGGGCAATCTGTGCCAGGGCCTTACCACCCTCAGAGGGAGGAATCTTTTCTCTGATAACCCATCTAAAGTTTTGGTTAATGGTGCTGTGGATTGAACAGAGAGGAAGAAACCATGAGGAGTTCACTGCTGCAAATTGTTCTTCTACAAGCAGACACAGCAATGGCAAACCTGCAACAGAGGATGATGAAAAGACTGAATGAGGAAGAACTTGACTGAACAACCTGCATTTTCTACTTATAACTTCTCCAATTCGTTGTCATGGAATGAAACTCGAATTTTCATACACTATTTACATAAAAATAATTGCTGATGGTAGAAAGTAGTGTTGATCTGTGAGTATTTAAACATTTCAAAATGTCACTGAAAGTGCAAATCACTGTTTCCTTAACTAATGCTCATATTAGATTTATATGAATGCATAAATGGACAGTTTACATAATGTAATTTAGACTGTAAACTGCTACATAGTCTTATCTTCTGTATTTCAAGTGTTTAGAAGAAAAAAAGTTGTATCTTCAGCTGCATACATTGATTAAAAAAGATCTAGTAAAACAACTGGGTTTTACTTCATTATATTATAGCATATATTATGAGTATGAATGCTCATCATATTAAGTGTGTAGTGGTATTTGATGTACTATCTCAGGTAACTTTCTAACAGGTATTTAAATGCAATAGTTTAATTGACCATTACTAAAACCCTACTGTGAATAACTATAGAGAGTGTAGCCTGTGTATTAAGACTTATGTAACAGGAATATAATACATCTATTTCATCAGAGATGAAGTTAGCAAAATTCAATCTACCATCAGTATATTTGCTGGCCTGAGAGGAAAATGTATCTCTTACTAACCTTGGTTGCGTAGCTTTTCTCTTCTCCAATCACCCAGGCAGTGTGTGGCAGCAGGCTTTCAATTTTTGGATACGTTGGAGTAGCAATCTAAAATGTTTATTTAAAAATTTCATTAAAAGTCCAAAGGTCTAAGTGCCTTGATTGCCCTTCATTAATGAAAGGAATTCAATTTCTGATTGTACTGTATGTGATTTAAAACTTGAAACAAGTCTTTAAATTAACATTCATGGCAACATTCATCATTCATGGCAAATTCAATGGATCAAGAACCTTATTTTAATAATATTAAAAGCCTTTCATACATTTTGTTTTCTCTTATTTTATTTAAAAGTCCTTGTCCCTTCCTCACAGACTCCACAGGGTTGTCCTTTCCTCACCCTTCTCACAAACCTAACTAGGATTCAGGAATTTATAATTAACAAAGCGAGAAAGTGAGGAATTCTTGTAAAACTTCCAATGTATTAAAATTTTTTGTGTTTGGAAAAATGTTGTCATGTAACTTACAGTGAGGCAAGATTCTGAAGTGAACAGTCTGAACACTCTTTCATGTAACAACTCAACCTGAGTGCAGTCAAATTTTCTTCTGCCTGAGAGTCCAAAGTTTTGTGTTTCTGCAATGAAAGTAAGAAAACAGAGATATGGTCAAAATGTTGTGTTGCTGGAGATATATAATTCTCCCCAAGAAACTCACCAGTTCATCTTATTTATTTTTTGTTATGAAACGGATTACAATAGCTTAAATATCAACATTTTCACGTGAGAAAATGGACTAATGTTCTATTTTATCAAAGTAAGTCTCGAATTTTTAAAGTCACTGGAAGCTGTATATTTCTTCATGTTTGCACATGCATATTACAACATGTCCTTTAAGACAAAATTACTCCAGCTAAAAAAAATGCAAACAAACAAACAAACACACAAAAAAAAAAACTCAAGGAAAAGTTGTATTGTGCTGTATGGGTTAAGAGATAGACCATGGAAAATCCTAGGAGAATTCTCAAAATAGAGACTGAAATAAGAACTGAGGCTTCAAACCCAACAGAAGTTTTTACAGATCAGATCCACATGTTTACATTTAAATGGAACTTGGAGCGAGAAGCAACCAAGAAATCCAGTTAAACTGTGAATTTGTACTACACAATGATTCTTTTGGGAATAAATAAAATAATTTGAAAATTACATGACAAAATACAAATAGGCCTGCCTATGCCTCTGGCAATACACAGCTGATGGCAGGAAATTCCAAATATTGCAGCTTATAACTCTGACTGGAAACAGGACAGAAAATTAGACCCATAATTGGTCATTTTAGGCATCACTTATTCCTCCAGTGATATTTCTCCTTCCTCACTGCATCCTCAAGGTATTAACACCTTACTGAAGTGTACAATCTTCCTATGCTGATGTAAATTCTCTAATCCTCAGGGACTGCAGGAAATAAAAAGGCAAGAAACCCTGAATCTCAACTTTCTCTACGCTTTGTCAACATCCCCATCTCAAGTAACCCTTTTTTGTAATTTATACCACTACAGACATGCTTTGAAGAGTTCCATGGCAGGAGAAGGAGGATGGAGGAGATGTTGCAACAACCATGACTTTTCTAGGCCTTTTAATACCTGTGTAAAAAAATTCAAAGCATAAATGATTTGTTATTAGTGTTTAATTAATTATTCATAGTTGTATTCAATGCAAAAGCATCCAAGAAGATAAGAAGGGGTCAAAATATTTAGAAAGCAGAGGAAGAAAAAAAAAAAAGGAACTGTTGAATACAGCCCTTTGAGAATGAGCTGTACGTGGGTCAAGGAGAAAAGGATTCCATGCCAGACTGAAAGGTTCAGAGGGTCCCTGAATACCCAACCATTAGGAAGCAAGTGAAAAAAAAAAAAAAAAAAAAAACAAGAAAGTGGCAATACGACAAGTGCTTCAGAGGAAACTGGAAAAGGAATAGTTGTGGGTTTTTTTAATTTATCTGTCTTAAAATCCTGGCAGTTAAATGAATTTGGTAAGGATTGCCATGTAACAAGGGTAAATCTGTCCCACATCCACAGCCAACAATTAAAGCAAGTCAATTCATGGCACATGTCATATAAACTGAAATCAGTGAATAAACAGTTTTCTGCTGAAGTGTCTCACTGTGATGGTGTAGCCTCAGACTTTCCGGTCCGTACAAAGAGAAACCTAACCATCCACAGATCACTCAGTGGCAAAATGCCACTGAGGAGAATTGCCTGCAGGTAAAATCAATCCTGTGATAAACTGACAGTCAGGGAGGAGATATTATAGCAGTCTGGGGCTATTTAGGTGAGATTTTGCCAATAGTTGAGCAGCTGGACACTGGATGAACTGAACAGGAAGATGTTTAACATCTCCACAAACAGCATTACTGTAGTCAGTAGTCTGTCAGGGAAGAGACAGAGATCAAATACATCTGCATCCTTAGAAATGACAGATGACCCTGGAAACGTTTTATGTAAGTATAAAACAAATTTAAATAATATTAACTCCTGAATACATGCTGAAATTTATATTCCCAGTACACAGTAAGAGCAATAATTATTTATCTTCTGGTAGTACAGTGTAACTTGATATAGAAACAAGAACTTGGAGACACTCAGAATTTCCATTTCTTCTCTGCTTTTTAATGCTTTTATTTTGAATATTAGATTTTTTTGTATATCTCAGTGCTGTCACACATCTGACCAGTTCCCAGACGAATCAATATGAAGCTCCAGTGACTGAGAAATCAGAGTTTCGTCAGTCTATCAATGAATGTTCATCAAATGTTTGTGAACTGTCTTGTCCAGTGGCAACATGTAAATCGGAACTAGTGAATAGGCCAGAGGATGTGGAAAAGTCTCCTGCTGACATAAAATGACATCTGTTAGCTAGGTAAGAGCAGAGGCAATGCAATCAGAGTGCTGCCAGTGTGGCACTTACATTCAGCTCAATCTAGCATGATATGGTGATCAGTTATATCACTCAGAGGTGGTTCTTAAAGCTTTTTTCTACCCTGAAGATACATCTCCATAAAATAGGAGTTTCATATTTATTGTCTCTAAATGACTGCAGATCAAAATTGCACATTATACAGGATTTCTCCTCCTTTCTGCCCATAGCTCCCATGTTATGTATCAAACACTAGGATCTGAAAATGAAGCTGAGATTTTTTTCATTTATTTATTTTTTTAATAGCAGGTTACTACTATTTTTAGGTAAAAGAGCCTTGGAAGGCCTTATCTAAAAAAATTTAGCTCTACTTGCTTTTTTATTGAAATAGGTGTTTGTCATGTGTGTATATAATTCCTGGACAGTGAGTGGGAGTGGAAATGGATTGAGAAACAGCATAATCTGTGGTTTTAAACAAAACAAAACAGCTAAACTAAACTAAACTAAAACAAAACAAAACAAAAACCTTTTCCTGCATAGCACTGTTTATTGCTATGGCCATGTATCTAAAAGAAATTGACTTCAAAATTACATTTGTCATATTAAAAAGAAAAAACAACACAAAAAAACCCCACAAAACAAAGCCCAACTCAGCAAAACAAAACACAAGGAGATACCCCAAAAAACAAACAAACAAAAAAACCCAACCCGAAACAAAACAAAAAACTAGAACATGCAGATGTGGTCTGAAATGAGATCTGAACACATGTTCTGTATTGTGCTTTACGTCCCCTTTAGATTGTGATGAAAATAGTTGAAGACATGCTTTGGCCATGTGTTACTTGCCATTTCTTGTGTTCTTCAGCAGATTGAAGAGGTTGGAGAGATAGTACCCAAGCAGCTAAAACCACACAGATAGAGGACATGGTTAGTTTTGGAAAAGGAGAGTAAGGAGGACACACCACCACCACGAAACACTCCTGGCTGGAGCAGAGGGGCTGGAAAACTGGAAAAGGCCCTGGGGATGCTGATGACTCTGGATCCCTTTCCCCACCCACGACGTGGGGGAGCCCAGCTCTAGTTCCTTCTCCATCTGAAGAACCATTCCGACGTCTTGAAGGGCGGGGAAAGGGGACTCCAGCGACAGGGTTTCTCAGGCCCCGAGCCTGGAGGGGAGAGGTGCCCTTCCCTCCTCCCCCACCCACGTGGCTCCATGGCAGGCACAGAGACAGCACACCGGCGTGGAGAGGAGGCAAGAGGGAGTTTATTGTTGGGAAGGGGTTTATAAAGCTTTTAGGAAGGTCAAAGGGGACCAATCACAAGTTCAGGGTCACACAAAAGAAACCATCAGGTAAGGGGTCAACAGCCAATAGGAAGGGGTTAACAAAGGACCAATGGGACACCTCAGGACACCTTCCCAGGACATTCCTGCATGGGAGATAACAGTTGCTGTGGGGGGTGTTGGGAAGAAGAAACACGTGTTTGCAAAGGGACCACAAAGAGCCAGTTTAAGACATGTTTAAACAAGTTTCTCATCAGATATAGTGCTACAGATGACAGCAGCTTGACGTGAATCCATGTGTGCCCAGGTGGGCAAGAGGCCAATGGTCCCTGAGCTGTCCCAGCCATGGTGTGTCACAGGCCCAGGGTAGTGCCCGTCCCTGTGCTGGGCACTGCTGGGGCCACACCTCGAGTGCTGGGGGCAGTTCTGGGCCCCTCAGACAAGAAACACATTGAGGGGTTGGAGCTTGTCCAGGGAAGGGAACAGAGCTGGGGAAGGGTCTGGAGCACCAGGAGCGGCTGAGGGAGCTGGGGGAAACCAGCCTGGAGAAAAGGAGACTCAGGGGGGACCTTCCCACTCTCTGCAACTCCTTGACAGGAGGGTGGAGCCAGGGAGGGGTTGGGCTCTGCTTCCAGGGAACAAGGGGCAGGACAAGGGGAAACAGTGTCAAGCTGTGCCAAGAGAGGATCAGGCTGGACATCAGGAGGAATTTTTTCCTGGAAAGGGTGGTCAGGCATTGGAAGGGGCTGCCCAGAGAGGGGTTGGAGTCCCCATCCCTGGAGGTGTCCAAGGAACAACTGGATGTGTCTCTCAGTGCTCTGGGCTGGTTGACAAGGTGGGGATCAGGCACAGGGTGAACTCCATAACCTGGGAGGTCTTTTCCAGCCTCTGATTCTGGGATTTTGTGAGTACAATTTAAGATACAAAAATGCCCATGGAGGGGTATGTGCAAACACACTCCTGTGCATGTGCTACTGACATTCACTTAGTCCTTTCTGAGGGCTGTAGCTGATATTTATCAAAATTCCTTGCATCAGGGAGGGTAGAATGGGTTGGCATACCACACCTCTGCTTTTCTATTTTAAGATTAGGAACACTGTGATATTTTGTGGGCAACAGTTCTTTTTGTGTTTCAGGACCACAGTGGGACTGAAAAAATTCTAGAAGACTTTATTTTGGCAACTGCAGAGGCTCCAAGGTCTTTATAGCACCTACAGAGACATCCTACAGCACCAAAACATTTGCTTTCTTGTATTTAAGGAATTTTTTATTCTCCTTTTTTTCCATGTATTTTTTTCTGATAAAATATGTTTTAAAGTCTAAATCTTTCACTCTCACCAGACAAATCTTTTCCTCTAATCCCATTAAGACAAATGGAAAATTGTTTAGAAGACTAATGAGTTCAACAAATGTGCATTAAGTGTAATTGGCCTTCAGTGTCTTCAAATTGCAGGTAACTCAGTAGTTAAACGCTCAGACTATTTGCAGAGTCTCTGGGACTAGCGGTTAGTACTCAGATCTATTATTTTGTTAAAAGTGAAAATGAATTACTAAGAGCAACAAATGAAAATGTACAAGCCCCAGATACTGTGTTTGCTGTCTCTTAATAGGTAAAAATGGGCTATAAAGCTGAGGCAATTCAAACCTGACTGTAATGGAACAATTATTAGCAAAAATGTTCTTACCTTTCCAGAGAATAAAATTTGGTTTTGAGGAGCATTTCAACAAAAATATGAAGTGTATTAAATAATTTAATATAAGCGACAACTGTGGAAAAACTAGATTTTAACCAATTCAGAAGGTACTTCTCTATGTTTTTTCAACTTGTCTGATTTTAGCGTGCAGAAGACAATGGGTGATGCACTGGAGGGAAAAGGGAAATTCTGTATTTAGAGAAAATAAATAGTTTTGTGGAAGATCTTGGGTTGAATATTATATTTTGCTTAGAGAATTAAAATTTAAAATTGCTGTGGATTTTCTTTAAACTCATATATTTATACTCGTTCTTCTGTGTTGCTGCCTTTTGTTTCAAATTATGAAAAATTGAATTTTTTTGTCACTGCATCTGCTTACTGATTCAATATTTCTAGCAGCAAAGCCATACTGCAGTCTTGGAAAACAAAGAAGCCAGTATTTCACACTACTTTAATGTTCAATTAGATACAAATCAGGTTGTTATAACTACTGAAAGGAAACAGCCTTTAAGTATTAGGTATTAGAATGTGAGATATTTAACCTGATTTCATGATGCAAAAGTTCCTGGAAAGACATAACATTAAAAAGACTTATTTATATTTGCTTCTGCTATGTGAAATATACACTTTTTAAATGAAATATTGTTATTAGATTTACAAATATGTTACTGTGTTAACCAATAACCTGCTGATTCATTCATGAAGTTTTTTTCCTCTTCTGAAAGGACACATTACAACTAATTCTGTGTAATTTATTGTATAAAAGCTTAATTTTTCTGTGTATTTCCAAAACAAATAATAGTGGTTCAAGCAATGAGCACATATGATTAGCGGTGTCTGACAAAACAATTGTTGTGCGTTCTCGAACCTCGCCGGAAAGGAAGAGAGCGAACTATCTTATCAATGCCTTATTTATACCCTAGGTTACGTAAAGGAATAGCATGGAATACTTCCTTGGTCACCTTCCTAGTTCCTTCCTGGTTACAAGCTGGTTTCCAGGAAGGCCTAGACTGAAACCATCACAGATGTAAACCCTTTTTGCTGAGAAAAACAGTTTACTGGAAATCTTCTTCAGTGACAAAAAAAGAAAATAACACTTTTTTTAAAGGATGGTAGGCTTTGCAGAATAAGTGAAAAAAGAGTGATTTAATTTTAGTCAGTGCTGAACATCCTTGATCCCCGTTGAATTCATGGGAAACTGTCAGTTCCCATAATCAGTAAATGTCTGTCATCAGGGTCTACACACACGTTAGTCTGAGGATTGTTATGTAGCATTCCTACTCCTAGTTTCACCATCCTCTATATTTTCTAATCACTTTGTCATGAACTACACAACTGCAATATTTTTTTTCCAATTCACAGATCATCTTCTGATAAGAAAATGATTTAGAAGACTACAAAATGGATAATATTTTAAACTACTGCAATAAATAGTCTTGGGAGTGCTGGTGAGCCAGAGTCAAGGAATCCATTGAGCTAAACACAGTCATTTATCTTAGCTGGATTACATGAGCAACTCACAGTAAAAATAAGAAACCTTTTGCATTGTTTGGTTTGTTACAAATAGCCTGATATCAGTAATTTGCAGCCCCATATACTCTGCCATTCTGAAGGAAAGTCAGCTTCACATAAATTTTGAATCTGCCTGTTATGGTTTGAGATTGCCCCCCCGGGATCCAGGGGGCTTAGAGGTGATTGGATGCCAGGGTAGTTTTCCGTGGAGGGCCAATCACCGCTCGTCTTGTTCGCTCCTGATGAAAAATCATATATACACAACTGCGGGAGTTGTTGGCAATCGGTCTGTCTGTCTGCTGCTGTGTGGGTGTGTGGGTGTAGAAGGCCAAGGGGTGGCAGGGCCTCCTTCTTCCCCCTCCGGGGGAGGAAGGGGAGCCCTGCAGCCCCACAACTCTGCCTAAGTCAGGGTTGGAGTAGCACTGGAGTGAGTTTGTGTTGTGAAGGAAGGGATTCACAACACCTGAAGGTAAGAGGGAGAGAGAGAGGGAAGCTCCTTGCGAGGAGGCCAGGCCCTCTTTCCCCCCCCTACCTTTCCAGCCAGACTGCAGAGCTCGGGACAGTTCTTAACTGGACCGAACACCTGTAGCAAAAGCTGAGCAGGGGCTTTTGCTCTCACTGTAAGTGGGAGTGGATGCAAGGCATTTAGAAGCTGAGCCAAGAGACAGGCCGGAAGAAGAGGCTCGGTGCCAGGGAGAAAAAACCCAAGCGAAATTGGAGACGGGCAATAGAGAGGTTCGGGGGTGCCCTGCTAAGGTTTGACTGGGGGCATCCGAAAACACGGAGGAGGAATGAAGATTCCAAAATGCGTACTGTGGTAAGCTGAACTACAGCTTACCACAGTAAGTGTTCCCTGAACACTCCCACGAGAGAGAGACTGGGTACCTATCAGCCTGAAGAGTCTTTTTTTCCTGGACTGAATTGAGGGAGAAGGCTTAAAGGGCCTGATAGAAGTGTAAAATAATACATATATAGTTGCCTTTAGCTTGTATAGTATTTATTTGTGTAATAAAATATATATACTTCCCCTTTCCCCTATAGAACCCTCTTGCCTGAAAGTTTCTCTTCAGTGTTGAGATAAAACTGTGGGAAGGGGTAGGGGGAAGCCTGGAAATTGGATTTTAGATTTCTAATGTGGCTCAAACAGCCACACTGTCTTATAGAGCATA